GACGGGTTCTGACTGTCGTTTGTGCTTATGCACCAAACGGCAGTTCAGATTATCCACCCTTTTTGGAGTCCTTGGAGGGGGTACTGGAAAGTGCACCTCCTGGGGACTCCCTTGCTCTGCTGGGGGACTTAATAATAATAATAATAATAATAATAATTTATTCAATTTGTACTGCACTTTACATTTTACAATCTCAAAGTGCTACATTATAAAATATCTAAAGAAAATAAAATGTGGACTAAAAAAAGGACTAAAAATGTTAAAAGCTAAACTGCAGGATCAAAATACTTTTAAACTCAATAAAATCTTTTAAATAAAATGGTCTTCAGTCTTTTCTTAAAACTTTCTGTAGTCAGGGGTATCCTTAGATGTTCAGGGAGGTTGTTCCACAAACGAGTAGCAGCAGAGCAAAAAGCCCTGTCACCCATGGTGCACAGTTTTGTCCGGGGAGGGTGGAGCTTCAATGCTCACGTGGGCAATGACAGTGAGACCTGGAGGGGTGTGGTTGGGAGGAATGGCCCGGCCCCCCTGATCTGAACCCGAGTGTTGTTCTGTTGCTGGACTTCTGTGCTAGTCATGGATTGTCCATAGCGAACACCATGTTCAAGCATAAGGGTGTCCATATGTGCTGTTGGCACCAGGACACCCTAGGCCGCAGTTCAATGATCGACTTTGTTGTCGTCTCAGCTGATCTGTGGCCACATGTCTTGGACAATCGGGTGAAGAGAGGGGCGGAGCTGTCCACTGATCACTACCTGGTGGTGAGTTGGCTCCGATGGTGGGGGAGGATGCCGGTCAGACCTGGCAGACCCAAATTTATTGTGAGGGTTTGCTGGGAAAAATCTGGCAGAGTCTCCTGTGAGACAGAACTTTAACTCCCACCTCCGGGAGAACTTCGAACATGTTTCAGGGGAGGTGGGGGACATTGAGTCTGAGTGGGCCATGTTCCGTGCCTCTATTGTCGAGACGGCCTACCAGAGCTGCGGCCGCAAGGTTGTCGGTCCCTGCCGTGGCGGCAACCCTCGAACCCGGTGGTGGACACCGTCAGTGAGGGATGCTGTCAGGCTGAAGGAGGAGTGCTATCGGGCCTTTTTGGCCTGTGGGACCCCGAAAGCAGCTGATAGGTACCAGCAGTGCAAGCGACATGTGGCTCGGGTGGTCGATGAGGCAAAAACTCAGGCATGGGAGGAGTTCGGAGAGGCCATGGAGAATGACTTACGCACGGCTTCGAGGCGTTTCTGGTCCACCATCCAGCGTACCGGGGGAAGCGGTACACCACTTTATAGTGGTGGTGGTGTGCTGCTGACCTCAACTCGGGATGTTGTGGGTCTGTGGGCAGAATACTTTGAAGACCTCCTCAATCCCCCGGCACATCTTCCACTGAGGAAGCGGAGTCTGGGGACTCTGGACCGGGCCCTCCAATCTCTGGTGCTGAGGTCACCGAGGTGGTTAAAAAGCTCCTCGGTGGCAGGGCCCCAGGGGTGGATGAGATTCGCCCAGAGTTCCTTAAGGCTCTGGATGTTGTAGGGTTGTGTTGGCTTACGTGACTCTGCAATATTGCCTGGACATCGGGAAAAGTTCCCCTGGATTGGCAGACCGGGGTGGTGGTCCCCCTATTCAAAAAGGGGGACCGTAGAGTGTGTACCAACTACAGGGGGATCATGCTCTTAAGCCTCCCTAGTAAGGTCTATTCAGGAGTTCTGGCGAAGGAGGGTCTGTCTTGATAGTCGAACTTCGGATTCAGGAGGAGCAGTGTGGTTTTTGTCCTGGTCGTGGAACTCCAGACCAGCTCTAAACTCTCAGCAGGGTCCTGGAGGGTGCGTGGGAGTTTGCCCAACCGGTTTACATGTGCTTTGTGGACTTAGAGAAGGCATTTGACCTCGTCCCTCAGGCAACCCTGTGGGCAGTACTCTGGGAGTATGGTGTACCAGGCCCTTTGATACAGGCTGTTAGGTCCCTGTATGACCGGTGTCAGAGCCTGGTCCGCAATGCCGGCAGTAAGTCGGGCTTTTTCCCGTTGAGAGTTGGACTCCGCCAAGGTTGCCCTTTGTCACCGATCCTGTTCATAATTTTTATGGACAAAATTTCTAGGCACAGCCAAGGTGTTGAGGGGATCTGTTTTGGTGGCCTTAGGATTGCTTCTCTGCTTTTTGCAGATGATGTGGTCCTGTTGGCTTCATCAGATCGTGATCTAGAGCTTTCGCTGGAGCGGTTCGCAGCCGAGTACGACACGGCCGGGATGAAGATCAGTTACTCCAAATCCGAGGCCATGGTCTTGAGCCGGAAAAGGGTAGAGTGCCCTCTCCGGGTCAGGGAGGAGGTGCTGCCCCAAGTGGAGGAGTTCAAGTATCGGGGTCTTGTTCACGAATGAGGGAAAAATGGAACGTGAGATCGATAGGCGTATAGGTGCAGCATCTGCAGTGAAGCGGGAATTGTATGGGTCTGTCGTGGTGAAGGGAGAGCTGAGTCAAAAGGCGAAGCTCTCAATTTACCGATCAATCTATGTTCCTACCCTCATCTATGGTCATGAGCTTTGGGTTGTGAACGAAAGAACGAGATCTCGGATACAAGCGGCCAAAATGAGTTTTCTCCGCTGGGTGTCTGGGCTCTCCCTTAGAGACAGGGTGAGAAGCTCGATCATCCGTGAGGGACTCAGAGTAGAGCCGCTGCTTCTCCACGTCGAGAGGAGCCAGTTGAGGTGGCTCGGGCATCTTTTTATGAAGCCTCCTGGACGCCTCCCTGGTGAGGTGTTCCGGACACGTCCCACCGGGAGGAGACCCAGAGGAAGACCCAGGACATGCTGGAGGGACTATGTTTCTCGGCTGGCCTGGGAACGCCTTGGGATTCCCCCGTAGGAGCTGGACCAAGTGTCTGGGGAGAGGTAAGTCTGGGCCTCCCTACTTGGGATGCTACCCCCGCGACCCGACCCCGGATAAGCGGAAGAATTTGTATGTATGTATGTATGTATGGATGGATGGATAGTGCTTGGCATATATTTAGTTGATGTTTTTCTTAGTTCATATCTTAGATCTTATTACTGTTTTTTTTTTTTTACATTTTATTGTTGGGTTTAACTGGGACCCTGTGAACATAATCTTGATCCACCACATGTACCACATGAGGTGCATATGACAATAAAGAATATCTGTATCTGTATAATACTTTCTGATTCATATTTCCATTGTTATTGTTATATTATTTTCATTATTTTTAAATCAATTTATTTTTCATTTTTTTATTTTATCAGTTTCTTATTGTTAATATATCTATTATAGCTTTTAGCGGCACCTTTCTTTGTTTTATGCATTCATTCAAAAACAGTATGTAGCTTGAATTAACCACCTGTTTCTTCTTTCTAGTGAAGAGAAAGAGAAAAGAGTCCAGTAAAGAAAAGTCTTATTTCATCACTGAATGAACATGAAGAACTGAAGCGGACACAGCAGGAACAACACTTGTGTCTTCTTCTGGATGAAGCCCGTGAGACGAGGGACACACAGATACACAATCATTAGTTGGACGCAGTAGTTTTTATTTTTGTACATTTTTCACTTCTTACTTTTCCTATTAAACAATTTTTTTCTTAAGTAGTGTCCTTGAACATTAAATTTCCTAAACAAATTTTACAATGTTAAGTTCATATAGTGTTTGTTTAAATTCATACTGGAAGTTGAGAAGAATTTCCAATTGCATTTGATCTTTAATGGATCCTAAGAAAAGATTACTAGAATCTGCTCAACTGTTATTATGTTATAATTTTTTTTGGATTCTAGGATGAAGTGAGACAAAAACAGTCAAAAATTCAGAAAGGACAGTTATCAGTTATCATTGATCAGTTATCAGTTATCGGTCGTACAACTGTGGCCCGAGAGATTCAGCTGAAAGTCCTGGTGCACCTTTTATTTGGACCTGCAGAAATTTGAACAGCTGATCTGAAGCAAACAGGCAGGAGTTCACCTGAACTGACCCCTCCTGCTGTTTGATGGTCTCCTCCTTCGCCATCCATCCATCATCCATCCATCCATCATCCATCCATCCGTCCGTCCGTCCGTCCATCCATCCTCTCCTGCTTCCGGGTCGTGGGAGCAGCATCTTCACCAGGGAGGCACAGACATCAACAGCCTCCTCTTCAACTCTTCTAGGACCCCATGGTGTTCACAGACCAACTGACTATTTATTAAGTAATATCCTGATGCTGCTCAATAATCCAGGTAGAAAAATCTAAAAAGTTAAGTCTGGTCCTCTGGACATTCACAAAACAAACAATACAGTTTATAATAAATAAACAAATGTTTTTTTTTTTTGTTGTTTTTTGAATGTCCAGAGGACCAGACTTAACTTTTTTCAATTAATAAGTAATATATAATATAATAAGTAAGATTTATGTTTTTAAATTTAATGAAAGACAAACCTTTAAAATTTAAGGACAAAATTTAATCTAATTGTTTTCAAGTCTGTAGCTTATTGTAAAAGCAGTTTCAAAGATTACAGCACAGTGTGATGTTTTGCAATTTTAACATGCACCTTGTGCATATCTGTAAATAATAAAAGTGAAGAATTTTTAATACATCTTTATTATAAAAATCTAAACTAAAATGTAAAACACATGGGTTTAAAGCAGCAGGAAGGCAGTAAGGTAGGATTATGAATCAGGTTTAAAAGTTACAGCTCATGAGGTACTCCATTAGAGCATGACATCTCTTCCACAACATCGTGTGACAAAGTCTTCAGGGTGTTCTTCTTCTAATATGCTTAGTGGTGGCTAGTAAGTAGCTTAAGGGAGCACTACCGCCACCACGTGGTAAGACGAGTTGGATTCTAGTCCCCGCCTACAGAGCCGGTCCAGAAGTGTAAATGGAAACGCAATGACACATGAGCCAATCCGAGCTAACCCGAACTGATCTGATCAACACCGTAACAGTGGAAAAGGGGCATAAGAGAGACTCCATGCAGCCACCTTGGGCGGCGCAGATATATAACATTTCCTTCGGTTCCTCCTGCAGTGAGCCTTGCGGTGGCAGCTGTGAATCAGGCGGTGAAGGAGAACCAGGTCCAACAGACACTCAGAGTCTTGTCTCTGCCGGAGCTCGAGCTGCGAGGACTTCTGCCTGACTGTGCTGCAGATTATCAGCGAGAGCTGAGAGATCTGCTCACAGACAGGAAGCACTCAGGTAACACTCACAGGTGAGCGTGGAGCAGAACCATGTCCTTTCTGAAACCCTAACACAGGCACTGTGCTCAGGTGAAAACAGGAGTTCGTGGGTTCAAATCCGGCTGAATGAAGGATCATTTTATTACTTTCACCTGAAGAGACTGGAGGGGAGCTGGGAGAGACCTGATGCATTCAAGCATAATGGCGTGTTCATCGATCAGCATGAGATACAGGTACAACGCTCACCTGAGGGCGCCGCCCAAGGCTCGCCTGAGAGGGTGAGCTGTCAGAAATGGCTGTGGAGTTGTCCTTTTGTCATCTCTCAAATTGATGGTTCCAGTTCAGGTGGGCTGTGTATGGGATTAATGAAGTCGTGTTTTGTGTGACGTCCGTCTCCTCTGCAGGCGGTGGTGAGTGTCGTTTTGGCATCCTACAATCGCAGCGTTCTGTGGCAGAGCAGCAACGCCATCGTCACTTGCCTGCAGGCTCGGTGTCGGGGCTTCTTGATTCGACGGCAGCTGGAAGCTCGACACCGTTACCTGACTGAGCAGACACCTGCGGTCGTCATCATCCAGGTGAGCACCGTGGCACCAGTTGCATGTCTAGGACCGGCCGGTCCAGCTGCTCACACATCACTGTTTGCTGTTTGTGTTCAGTCTCATTGGAGGAGATGGGTCCAGCAGCGAGCATTCAGGTGGCGGCTGCAGTTCCTGCACATGAACTGGAGAGCTGTTGTCACGGTAACAGATGGTCCTGTAACTATGAATCAGCACCTTGTGAAGTTAGGATGAGTCATCAGATCTCCTGCTGACAACTCTGACTGGAGTATGTGTGTGTGTGCACATGTGGGTGTGTGTGCGTGTTTTGTTTGTGACACCAATGTATTAAATTCCCCTTCTTCATCCCTGGTCTGGCCTTTTCTTTAGATTTTTTCCAAGAGTCAAATGATCTCTTCTTCCTTTTCCGTTGACTCCATGACCGAAATTGTGAGAAATGAAGGAATTTGTCATGAGCTAATTAAAATCAGGTCCAGCATGGCTGCAGGAGGGTCTGGAGATTTCCTGGTGGGCTGGTCTGATGTGTGGACTGCAGGACCAGCACTCCGTTTTTTTAATTTATTTACGACTTTATTAACAACATATAAACACAGAACGCCGCTGCTACTTGCTGCCAGCTCTTGTTTTTGTTTTTTGCGACCTGTCAATCAATCCAGTAGGCGTGTCAGCAAATGACCAATCAGCGACCTCAATTTGTCTCGAAGGTAAACGTCCCTTGTCTGTGGAGCTGACTGCAGCTGCTCAGGGTGGACGCTTGAGCATGAAGTCTGAACCCTCTGTGGACAAAGCGCACAGTTTCCGTGTGGACTGATGTCCGCCCGAGTCTGTGGGAGCCTTCATGTGTGAATAGTGAATGGGTTAGGGTTAGGCATGTACTAGTAATGGTCAGATTGAGGGTAAAGGTTAGGGTTAGGCTACAGAAAATGGAAATGTTTACAAGAATGTGTGTGTGTGTGTGTGTGTGTGCGTGTGTGTGCGTGTGTGTGCGTGCGTGCGTGAACAGATTCAGGCGTTTGTGAAGATGTGGCTGCAGAAGAAGAAATATTTAGGCCGACTGAATTTCTTCAGACAGAACGTAAGTCTGCAACTCATGTTGCTGTGTCAGCCAATCAGGGAGCAGGATGTTCTGTTACCATGGTAACTGTGTACCTGTCTGCTGATAGGTGGATGCTGTCATAAAAATCCAGGCGTTCTTCAGAGCCAGCAGAGCGAGACATGAGTACCGGATGCTGGGTGGGTTCACAACTCTGAATCTGACTGGTCAAATAGCACTTCATTATACGTTGTCACAAAAGTCTTATAAGCTCCTCCCCCTCACCTGTCTCAGTGTGTTCAGATAACCCCCCCCTGTCCGTGCTAAGGAAGTTCCTTCACCTGCTGGATCTGGGTGATTGTGACATGAGAGAGGAGGTGGAGCTTCTGCGACTGAGGGAGGAAGTGGTGAGAAGCATTCACTTCAACCGAGAGCTAGAGGCAGACCTGAACCTGATGGATCTGAAGATTGGACTCCTGGTCCGGAACAGAGCCACACTACAGGTCAGAATCACCCTCTAAAACTGATCCAAACCCTGCAGAACTCTGACCTAACACACTCCAGTTCACTATTCAACCTAGACCGAGGTCAGTTCCTCTCCTCCAGAACTGGTTCTGAGACTCCAGGTGTTTGTGTCTGAACAGGAAGTTGTGTCTCAATGTAAGAAACTAACGAAGAAGAACAAGGAGCACCTGTCAGATCTGATGGATGTGGAACGAACTAAAGGACTAAAGGCTCTGAGCCGGGACAGGAGGGACAGACTGGAGGCCTACCAGCACCTGTTCTACCTGCTGCAGGTCAGATACACATCTGTTCTACCTGCTACTATCCTATCAGACACACACCTGTTCTACATGCTGCAGTTCAGACACACACCTGTTCTACCTGCTGCAGTTCAGACACACACCTGTTCTACCTGCTGCATGTCAGACACACACCTGTTCTACCTGCTGCA